ACCGACGGGACACCACGTGACACCAATCGGGGCACCAATCGATCTCACTTTCGATCTCTGCATCGGTCTTATATAATATCGATCTCTCTCGCTCGATCTCACTATCGATCTCATAATCGGTCTCACTATCGATCCCACCGTCGATCTCACCACGGGGCACCGACGCGACGGGACAGCGACGGGACAGCCACGGGACACCAACGAGACACCGACGGGACACCGACGAGACACCACGGCGGGAAAACCCGGCCACCGCCCGCCTACCGGGAGGGAGGAGGGGCGGTCAACGGCTCTTGACCCGCCCTAGCCACCAGTGGACTCGTTCCCCTCGCCCGCCCACGCAGCTTCGCCTCGCCTGCGCGTGCGACACGAACCCGGTACCGAAACCGATTTTCCGGTAGGGGCTCTACTTTCCACTTCGATCTCGCCCCCAAGCCTCCGATACATGTATTTATATCTGTATATATGTACGTATGTATGTATGCATGCATGCATGCGTATATGTGGACACAAAGAGAAAGAGAGAGCGAGCGCAAGAGAGAAAGAGAGAGATAGAGACAGCGAAGGAGAGAGAGGGAGAGAGAGAGAGAGAGAGAGAACGCGAGAAAGAGAGAGAGAGAGAGAGGGAGAGAACGACTTAGAGAGAGCGAGAGAGAAAGAGAGAGAGAGAGAGACAGCGCGCGCGCGAGAGAGAGAGAGAGCGAGAAAGAGAAATAACGATGTCCTGCTCCTGTAACTTTATTCCCTGAATGCCTGCAACATGCCGTCTAATTGATGACGTCTTTTGCTGCCGCAAGCTCTCTTGATTCCGCTGGCTTCTGTCAACCTTCTGCGGGCGGGGTCGCCCTTGCTCTGCTGCTGCTATCGCTGGCCTGCGGCTGGCTTTTGCCGAGCGGGTGAGATGCCGATTCCTCGACTCTTAGAAGACGAAACCCTCTATTGGAACGCACTGTATGGGAGGACAACGCATTACCATCCCCCGCAGAAACAACACCGAGACCTCCGATGTCGTCTACTTTTTGGAAAGACGTGGGACCCCCGAAATTCAAAACGCTTCCTTGGGACCGGCTTCTCAGCCCGAGTAGCTTTTGACGGCCCAGGGGGCCAAAGGCCAGAAATGGGCAAAACGTTCCGTTCTGTGTTTTTTCCTTCACGAAGCGAGGACATCTGGGGAAGGTCAATGTCAGCGCACTCGTGGCAACAATCTGGAGCAGGATCTGCGCACCGCCGGGCGAGGTGCTCCCGCCTCGTGCTCTCGGCCCTGAGGTGTGCGAAGTTGTCCGCGACCCCCTTCGGCCGCGGGGGGGCTTCGCAAATATGCCCAGAGAGGCGCGGGGGGCGACCTTTTCCACCGCAGCGCAGCCACTCCGAGCCAAAGTCATATGAGCAAAGCCTGCTCTGCGACGGAGAAGGGTCCACGTTTCGGAACCCTTTCTCGGCTGGCTCCTGGCAGGAGACGTACTGCAGCTTGGAAGCGGGGTGCGTGAGAGATGCAGGGACAAGAACGGGAGGGGGGAGGCCAGGAAGCAACTGCCTCCAACCCCTGTCGCTTGCAGATTGCTCTTGCCGTTCGCTTCTACTCGGCCCGTCATTCCCGCTGCTCCCTGCTCCTGCTCCTGCTGCTCCGCCTCCCCTTCCTCCTCCTCCTCCTCCGAGATGCCCCATAGCCATCATCACCTTATTCCCTCTCCACCCCTCATTACGTCTGCGCCCTCCTCCTACAAGCATCTGCTTGGACGGCGCTGCAATGGTAACATGTCTCGAGCAGAGTCCAATCAATGTGTTTACACTAATTTGCTGTCGTAATCCTACACCATGCACCCTGGCACGTTGAGGCGTGGTAGAGTGCTGAGGGCTGTGCGGTACGTATCTGGTAACCTTTCAAAGGGCCCTTCTCGTCGCGTCCAGGAGCATGCACCACCTCCCTCCCGAGGCCACGCTCCCTCATATAAAAACACGATGGGTCCGCGCTGCCGAGCTTCCAAGACGGCCCAGGCAGACCACCAAGGCCGCAATATGTAACATGCCTCCAGTGCGCCTGTGAATGGCCCCAAGGCGATCCAAGATGGCCCCGACGCGGCCCAAGCTGCCTACGAGAGGGACCAATAAAGCTACAAGGTAACCGGAGGCGTGCTAAGATTTCCGCTGACAGGTTAACGATATTTCCAGTTCGCGCGCGGGTGGCGGCCCCTGGGGGCCCTCGGACGAAAAGAAACCCCCGGGCGATGCCCAGCCGATGCCCAGCCGACTCCCCCAAGGCGCTCCAGGAGCGCGCCAGTGGGCGCCGGGACGCCCAAGAGGCCCCGAGTCGCTGAAAGATCGTTCCAAGACGCTCAAGATGGTCTCCATATGGCCCCAGAGGCCGCGAAAAAGCCCCAAGAGAGCCTCAAGAGGCTCTCCAAGAAGGCCCCAACAAGCAAAAGTCGTCTCATTCCCTTGGGAGGCGCATTTTTTCTTTCCATGTACGACGTTTGGGGGTTCGCAGCGTCCAGAACTGCCCCAGAGGCCTCAAACATCGTCCCCAAACGGCCCAACGCGCCCCCAAGATGGCCCAAGACGGCCCAAGAGGCCCCCAAAACGGCCCCAAGAGGGGCCCAAGAAGGGGAACCGAAAAGTCCAGCCTTTAGCCCCAAGAGGCCCCCAGGAGGCCCCAAGATGCCCCCAAGAGGTCCTAAGGGGGCCCCCAAGAGGCGACCCAAAAAGCCCCAAGAGGCCCCCAAGAGGCCCCAAGAGGCCCCAACACGGCCCCCAAGAGGCTTCAAAACTGCCTCCCAGAGGCCCCCGAGAGGCCAACCACGAGAGCTCAACCAACATCCATGAGGCCTCTGACCCACCACCCACCGCCTCCGAAAAAATAGCGCCGCCCAATGGCATCGCGTAAACAACAACACCCCGACAAAAGACAGCGGCGAGGCAATGTGGGCCGGCGGAATGAGCGAAGCGATTCCATACAGCTACAATCTAACCCCCAGCAGGGCCCGAAGAAACGAACATCATTGATCCTAGGTTTTCGCCATATTTTCGCAGGTTCGTCTTTTCTGAATCCCGTCAATTCAAGACGGCCCAAGAAGCCTTCAATGTGGCCCCGAGGGGGGCCCAAGGGTCTCCCAAGGGTCCCCCAAGGGTCCCCCAAGGTCCCCCAAGGATCCCCTAAGGGTCTCCCAAGAGGGCCCCCAAGACGGCCCCAGAGGACCTCATGATCGCCAACGAGGCCTTCAAGGAGGCCCCAAAACTGCCAAACAGAGCCTTAGGCGAGACCCAAGACTGCCATTGTAGGCCCTCTGACGGCCCAAGACGGCGCAACGACGGCCCCTAATCACTCACACATCCACGCACACACACACACACGCAAACGCACACGCACACGCATACACAAAGATACACACACAAACACACACACACAAACACAAGCACACACAACACCACACACGCAAAACCACACAAACAAACACACACAAACACACGAACACACGCAAGCACAACATTACACAACTCAACACAACACAACACAGCACAGCACAACACAACACAACGCAACACAGCACAAAACACAACACACAACACACAACACACAACACACAACACACAACACACCACACACCACACACCACACACCACACACCACACACCACACACCACACACCACACACCACACACCACACCACACCACACCAAACTACACCACACCACACCACAACACAAGACAAGACAAGACAAGACAACACAACACAACACACACACACACGCAGCCGTGCCGAAGAATGGCCCAAGAGAGCCCCAAATGCGGCTTAAGGCCTTTCGCCCTCCTCTTGCTCCTCCTCCTGCTCCTGCCCATGCTCATCCTCATCATCTCGGCTCGCCCAAGCTTGGGGAGACGGGGTGTCACACGTGACGGCCTCCCGTTCCCCCTCGAACAATCGCGACCCAGAAGACTGGGCCGGCGCGGTGGTGGGACTCGCCGCAAGCAGCTGGATATGTCCGGCATGAATCGTCACTGCAGCGCGTACCATGTAATTAGTTTCCATGCCAGGCACGGACCCCGCTCACGCTGGCCGAGCAATTCTGAAGGGGCCCAGGGGCACACTCACACACATAAATAGACATCACTCCCAGGATCCCCAATCGATTTTAAGATCTTATGGATTTTTGTCTTCACCTCCACTTCCCATCGTCTTTTCCTGGAAATCGACGTTACTTGGTGTCTGTGCCTATTTTCTCTCCTGCAATTCCCCTTTGCACCTCCGAACGCACAGCAGCACAAAATCGTAAAGAATGCGAGCTGAGCTTGAACAGAGACGGCGAGACCCTCAGTCCTGCCCCTCCCAGAGCCCCGTTCTCACTGACGCGGGTGAAGAAGCGAGCATTGAGGAAGGACGGCTCAACCGAGATCCGCTCTGAATCGGCGGCACACTGCAGTGGGGCGAGGGGCTGGCCCTTTAAGAAGGAATAGGGCCTCCCAGAAAGGTCCAATGCCTTCCGATAAGGATTCCTAGAAGACGGGAGGGCTTCAACAGAGCCCCCTGTCGTCTTAGAAAGTCGCCCCCTTGCTCCGCCTCCGACCTCTCATCTCCCTTTTCCCACCTCCCACTTCCCTCTTCTGTCCGCCGTCCTCGACTTTCCATCACCATCCTCCCACCTCCCATCTCCCTCCTCCCAGCTCCCACCTTTGTCATCCGCCATCCCGCCTCCCATCTTCCTTATCCATCGTCGTCGTCGTCTTCGTCGTCGCCGTTCTCGTCGCCGCCGTCCTCGCCGTAGGCGCCACCGCCGCCGCCGTGGCCGCCGCCGCCGCCGCCGTCGCCGTCGCCGTCGCCGTCGCCGTCGCCGTCGTCGTCGTCGCCGTCGTCGTCGCCGTCGTCGTCGTCGTCGCCATCGGCGGCGTCGTCGCCACCGCCGTCGGCGGTGTCGCTTTTCCACGCGGCGGGCCAGCGGCGTTCGCTGTGCACCCCCTCTCGGCATTGGCCTCCGAGGTTGGCTGCCTGCCGGCTCCCTCTCGCGCCTCAGGCGCCCGCCGCGAGGGCCTCCCAGAACGCCTTGCGGGCGCCGTCAGCGGCGAGGACGAGGGCAACATCGACGACATCGCGTCGGAGGGTTTGAAGGCGTTTCTGGGGCCTCTTGTCGCCGCGGCTGCACGCGGCTCGAAAAACTGCACGGGATGGGCGTCGGGCGAAATCTAGGGGCCCATTTTGGGCGGACAACGACAGGAGGAGGGGGAGGAGGAGGAGGAGGAGGACGAGGATGAGCGCCCCGTGTTTTTTTTTTTTTTGAGCGCCCCGCGTCCTTGGAGAGGGAGGAGGAGGATGAGGAGGAGGAGGAGGCGGAGGAGGACGAGCGGGGAGGAACCGCGGCAACGGCGGCGCTGGCTGGCGCCGCCGCCGCCCAATGCGGGGCACGACCCCCCTCTCCCGCCCCTCCCCGAAGTTCAGCCTCGCGGGCTGCCTCCGGCACGCCGTGCCCTTCCAGGATCTCCAGCGCCGCCTCGCGCGCCTCCTGCGGCGACGGCGCCGACGGCGACGGCGACGGCGACGGCGACGGCGACGGCGACGGCGACGGCGACGACGACGACGACGACGACGACGACGACGTCGACGTCGACGTTGACGACGGCGGCTGCGACGACGATAACGACCACGGTGACGACGACGACGACGACGGCGACGTCGGCGTTGACGACGACGGCTGCGTCGAGGACGGCGGCGGCGGCGGCGACGGCGGCGTCGGCGAGGACGTCGACGATGGCGGCGATGTCAGCGGGACGTCGCCGTTCTGGTGGCTGGGTGCTTCTTGAGGTTTTCACCGCGTGGCTGGGCGCGGCCCGGACTGCTGGCCAGGGTGGACTCCCAGAGTGGTCCAGGGACGCATTTTGAGCGGGTTCTGGGCGGAGGACGGCGACGACGAGGACGACGAGAAGACGAGGTATCCATGGGGCCCTTGGCTCCCCCTGGCGACTGGCGAGGACGACGACAACGAAACGTCGGCGGAGATGGCGACAACGGCGGCGAAGACGATGACGACGGCGTTTGTTGATCCCTCCTGGCCCCTTGGCGTGGTGAACGAAGCCGCTATTGAGCGGTACATTTCCCCCTTGAAGGGCTCATGGGCTTGGGTCGGAGTTTGGGGGGTGAGATCGCAGTGTAACGGAGTCCCCCCGCCGGGAAATCGAGTTTCGAGTTCGTGCTCGTGCCGCGTGTGCGGGCGAGGCGAAGCTGCGTGGGCCAGCGAGAGGAATTCACGCTGCTGTCGCTAGGGGTCCGCCAACACAAATGTTTCCCCCCCCCCGGTGTTGTCAAGCGGTGGCCCGCATTGCCCCGTCGGTTGCCCGCCGGTTGCTCATCATGGTTGCTCATCATTGTCCCGCCGGTTGCTCATCATGGTTGCTCATCATTGTCCCGCCGGTTGCTCATCACGGTTGCTCATCAAGGTTGCTCATCATTGTCCCGCCGGTTGCTCATCATGGTTGCTCATCAGTGTCCCGCCGGTTGCTCATCATGGTTGCGAGAGGTTCGGACGCACGCACCAGGCACTGCCAGTGCAACCATCATCGACTGGGACGTCGTCGGCTGAGTGCCACGTCGCGCAGCGGCAAACCGAACGACACAAGTCGCCCAAGCGAAATGACAAAAAAAATCCGCCACGTCATCCACACCATCATCGCCCATCATCACCACGTTCGACACAGTTGTCGGATCCATATCGACATGTTAATCGGGTACTTGGTGCGGGGGTGTGGCCCTTCGACTGTGCTTGTGAGAGAGCCACATAGATACATTACATTGCTTGGGCATATCTTCCGACTTTCGTCGCCCGTTAGGCCTACTTCAAGTGACGTGTAGCAGCTCCGCGTCGATGCTGTTTCAACTTTGCTGCGCCTTGGTATAAGGTGGGCCTAACTTCCAGCAGTCTCCGCTTTCCGATGCTCTCGATCTCGTCAATATTATCTTACTGCTGCTGCTGTTCCTCCTACTGGGCACTGTGGCTTCCCAGACCTCCGACAGATTGGCTACACGCAAGAGTGACCCTAGGCAAGACTGACCTGCAGTGTGCGGATTAAGGGGGTGCAAAGTGGCCAAACCCAAGCGCGCAAGCAACCACTATCGCATCGCGCTCATCACGTGTAGTCGAGACACCGTGTTTTTGCTTGTTCCGTCCGTGTGTCCACATGCTCTCGGCCCGTTCCCGGAGCCGGTTTCTCACTCGGGATCGTCTTCCGACTGGGCCCCGAACGCGGTTCCCGAGAGCCGAGATCGAGGAACTCTGAAACAGACTTTGACCAAAACACACAAGCGTCGGATGCCGACGAGAAGCACAACAACGGCACAGAAACACGCATAAACACATTCGGAGTTCCAAGCGTTTATATTCGTGCCGTTTTACGTCGCCCCCCAAAAAGGCACACGCCCGAGCGATGCCAAAGGGCTTCGGAGCCCGTCGACCTCTGGGTCGTCGTCCACCAGCGAGGTGATGTAGTCGACCACGTCCGCCTCCACGGCGGGCTCCACGGAGGCCAGCAGTCTGCGGCAGCGGTCCGCCTGCGGCTCCTCTCGGGAGGGCGTTGCAACCCTTGTGGGCACCCGCCGCGCGCGCGCCCCTGAGACAGAAGAGCGCACCCGAACGCGCCCACAAGGGCTCAAGGCACCGAACTGACGAGGAGGAGGAGGAGGAGGCGGAGGAGAAGGGTGGCCAGGCCAGCCGCCGCCCGCATAACGAGAATCGCGACGGGCGCTTCTGCCCTGCATCGGGTCCTGAGGCCCTCATGGATCGGTCCAGCTGCTCCAGCACTGCTCAGAGAAACTGGGTCGAGAGCCTTGGCCGTGACTTTCCACGACGTCGTGATGCTCTTCATGACGTCGGATCTCTGGGTATGCGGCCTCCTGCCCTGGCGACGACACTGACACTTTTGCCTCCTCAGCGGCGACGACGGCCCTTCGTCGCACGACGGGGCGCGTCGGCTCGAACTACAATCGCGCGACAGTCGACCACGCTCGGGCCAACGTCGTGCTCCCCGAGGTCGATGGCAAGCCAGGCCGAGTCGCGCAAGGAGGGGACAGGGGGCGACAACACAACGCACACGGGACCTGCCGCTGCCCGCTTCCGCCGGGCGGGAGCCGCAAGTGCGGAAATGGGGTGACCACGGATGCCGGATTGAAACGAGAAGGGGAAGCGAGGAGGGCCCTTCTTTGTCGGCGGCCGCGGGCAGCCCAAAGCGATCGGCTAGCATGGGGCGCAATCCCGCGATTTGGGCCCGATGCAAGAGAAGAACGAGACCCAACCTTCGACGTCGCGATTGTACTGCGCGGACCCCATACAATACCGATTTCTCCCGCTAACGCTTCACAAGATCTTGCCGCGACCGAAACACTGAAGATCAGCGCTCAAAACCAGTAGCGAGCGCATTGCATGCACGATCGAAATTGCGCTTGAAAGCCGGTAGCGCGCTATCGAAATTGGTTTCAGCGCTACCCAATTTGAGCGCGTCGTCGCTACAAACTTTCGTTCGGCGCTGCCGAATCCCACCAGCCCTCTGGGCGTAGGTGGTCCAGGGCGTTTCCTCTTCCAAACCCATTCTTCCCCTTTCGGGGAAGGCTTTATCACTGTTCCCAATTGGTATACACCTCCTCTCCCAGGCGACCAGCAGCCAACCAGGAACAATGATAACCCCAGGAGGTCCAGCCCCCCTCCACCCCTGTCAAAAAACGATACACAGTACACTTTGGAGCAAAGTCCAGAGTCACGTTCGTGAGGCCCACGAGCACGCTTCTATTGTTTATTGACATTGACGGCGGGGGTGCCAGCATGTTGCCTGCTGCGCGCAGGGCTACCATCCCTGACAAAAGACACTACAGAATGCACCTCGCGGCTAAATCTGGATCATGCGCGGCCACCACGCGATCACTGTCAAGTGGTGGCGTATGGCATGCTGTGCGCAGGCCCACCAGACACAATGATGGGCATTAATCTTCGACATGTCTTCCGATGTGTGCTGTCACGTGCGCAGGCGCACCTGACACACTCTGTACGTGCCCCGGACGTGGCGCACCTGGCGCGGCTGGAGCATGCGGCACACCTGGCGCGCGCGGGGGCACGTGGCGCATCTGACCAGGCGTGCCTGGCACGCTCGGCCCCTAGGGGTGCCTGGCGCCCGTGGCGCGCCTGACGCGCGTGGCGCACCTCGCCCCAGCGTCGCGCACATGGGCTCGGTTTCGGCTCCCGGTAGCTGCCCGTCCAAAGACGGCCGCTGAACATGCAGAGGCTCGGGTGTTACTTATGTGTTGGGAGGGCGGGTGGGAGTGAGCTAGACGGCTTGCTATCTAGGAGGATGTCTTGATCCCTCCCGCTCCCCCCTCCCCTGGACCTGGACGGGGAGGGCGGCGAGGCATTGGAAGGTCCAAGATGGCCCAAGATGTCTCCAAGTGGGCCCCTCAGAGTCCGAGATGAGCTCCGAGATGGCTCAAGATAGCGCACGGTGCCTCAAGATGGCTCCCAAGAAGCCCTAAGAACGGTCCAAGACGGCTCCAAGAGGCGTCCGAGACCTCCAAGGAGGCCCCCAAGAAGTCAATACCATTTAACCATCGAAGGGGAATCAATGAGTGTTGCTTTCTCGCCTTTTCGCTTCCGATGGCCATTCGAGGCCTCAAGATGGCTCCAAGATGGCCCCAGGAGCGGCCCACGAGAGCCCCAAGGCGGTCCCTATGAGCGCTCAAGAGCGCTCCAAGGGCGCCCCAAGAGCGCACCAAGAGGCGACGTGTGGGACTCCCGAGGGGGGACATTGAAGCGCCCATATTTGTTCAACGATGTTCTCCAAGAAGGCCCCAAGAGAGCCTCCCAAGCTCCCAAGAGCGCCCCAAGAGGGCCCCGAGGTGCCCAGACGGCCTCAAGAGGCGCCCAAGAGGCATCCAAGAGGCTCCCAAGAGACCCCAAGAGGGCCGAAGAGGCTTCCCGAGGCACCCAAGACGCTCACAGACGCACCCAGGGCCGCCAAGAGGCCCCCAAGACGCCCCAAGACGCCCCCACAAGGCTTCCAGAAGACATTCGAGGAGACTCCGAGCGGCACTCAAGAGGCCTCTGGCCCGTCTGCTCGCTCTCCTCCATTCCTTTTCCTTGTAAATAACTTCTCCCTGTCGCACCCCGTGGTCATGTTTTAAGGCGGGCTGGGCGTTTCGCCTGAGACTTCCTCACCGTTCATGTTTCTGAAGCTTAAACATTGGCAACCGTTTCACAGATGGAGGGCGGGTCGTTTTGAAACTGTGACTCTCTCCATAGCGCGGCGAACATTCGTTGTAAACATTTGTAAAAGCTTCACGGGTGGAGGGCGGGTCGTTTTCAAACTGTGGCTCTCGCCTGAGCACGGCGCACATTCGTTTTAAACATCTGCAAGAGCTTCACGGATGGAGGGCGGGTCGTTTTCAAAATGTGGCTCTCGCCTTAGCGCGGCGCGCAGTCGTTTTAAACATTTGCAAGAGTTTCACGGATGGAGGGCGGGTCGTTTTCAAACTGTGGCTCTCGCCTTAGCGCGGCGCACATTCGCTTCAAACATTTGCAAGAGCTTCACGGATGGAGGGCGGGTCGTTTTCAAAATGTGGCTCTCACCTTAGCGCGGCGCACATTCGTGTTGAAACATGTGCAAGAGTTCTACGGGTGGAGGGCGGGTCGTTATCAAACTGTGGCTCTCGCCTTAGCGAGGCGCACATTCGTACGGATTCCCAGGATCAACGTACTGGAAGTGGTGCTGTGGAAGGATTCTGGATCATGCGGGTGCAATAGTTGCGTTGGTCCTCTGTGCTGAAGTCCCAGGAATGGCGTTCTAGCGCGATTCAGGATCGTCAAGACGCAACAATCAGGTTGATCCGTGGCGTTGGAAATCCGAGAACAATGTTTTGGCATGCTTCAAGGTCTTCAAACGGGTGCCTTCTAACGAAGCAGTTCCATCAATGGAAGTGAGCCGTTGTAGGGGCCTATGAAGAGGGAACTTGGAGGGAGGGTTTACTCCCAACATCGTTGATGACTCGTGGGTTTGCACTGGTTCTCCTCCTTCTCCTCCTCTTCCTCCTCCTTCTCCTCCTCCTGCTCCGGCTCCCCCTTATTCGCTAAACATTATTATTCTCCCTCCTCCCTCATCCATTCTCCTCCTGCCTTGAGCGATGACGGCTGTCCCCCTCTTTGCAGCTACACTTCCCTGATCATCTCAACTCGCCTGGGGGTCGGTTATGGATGGGCTGGTGGGGAGATTTGTTTGATTTGCGGCCCGCAAGGAAAAGTCCAGAGGGCGGTCAGAACGAGGCTGGGGCACAGCGCACGATGATTAGCGCGAGAACGCGTGGAATGCACATGCAAGACGATTAGACGAGGCGGCCACAGGACTGGTGGGGATACGCGGAGTGTCAAGAACCTTTTTTTCGGCGCTACCGAAGTCCTTCTAGCTGGTGATAATCGTTTGCAGCGGTGATGGAGATGATGCTGATGCTGATAATGATGATGCTGGTGATGCTGATGATGGTGATGATGATGCGGATGTTGAGAATGATGATGATGATGCTGCTGATGCTGATGATGATGATGGTGGTGATGATGATGATGATAGTGATAACGACTGTGAATATGATGCTGCTGCTGATGATGCTGATGGTGATTAATGTGCGTATGACGCCAATGATTTCGATGATGACGCTGATGGCACTGACGACCGCAATGATGGCATCAGGGATGATTACGGTGCTGATGATGCTATTGTTAATGGTCGTGCTGAGCATGATGATGGTGGTGGTGATTAAGATACAGATGCTAATGTTGATGATGCTGCTGATGATGATGATGATGAGGAGGAGGATGATCATGCCACAAACGGCATGCTGTAAATGCTGACGGTGCTCCTCACGCTTCATGGTGTGGTCTGACGTTCCTTAACGTGTCCTGACGTCCGGATGCGTCAGGAAATGTTTAGAAACGTAAGTGAACGTCTTGACCATAATTATCATATTTACACACATATATATATATATGTATATAGATGTCGATGCTCATATTTGTGAGATAACAGTTTGTAGCTTATAACACTTTGTATAAATCATTCGTGAGTCTGACATTTGACACCAGCTATGGCGCTCGTGATAGCTGTGGCACCAGCGGCGTGCTTGACATGCTGATGGTATTGTTGAAGATGATGCTGCTGCTGCTGATGGTGATGCTGATGATGATGATGATGATGATGATGATGATGACGATGCTGATGATGGTGATGGTGATGCTGATGATGATGATGATGATGCTGATGCTGATGCTGATGATGCTGATGCTGATGCTGATGCTGATGCTGATGCTGATGATGCTGATGATGATGATGATGATGATGATGATGATGATGATAATGATCCTCGCGTTACCGATTCTCGTTTTTTTCCGCTAGCTACCGATCTCCGTTTCCCGCTACCGAATTTAGTGTTCCCGCTGCAATTTTCGCGTCTGATTCGCTACTGGTATTCGTCTCCCCACTACCGAATTTCACCCTCTCAAACGCACACCTATTCGCAACGGTCCGACGTGACCAGAAATCCAGTACCCGGTCGCGACCGAAGACCGACGAGCGCCTAATTCGCTACCGAACATGGCCAACATCGGATGATCTGGGGACCCCTTCCCCGGGACCGGTTTCTCATCCCGTGACGTTCCGCGAAGACGAAACTGGGCCAACACCTCCCGCACCCATTTCTTGTCACGACACCAGGAGGCGATCGGCGACGAAAAAGGCACGCACGCACGCACGCCGATCTCGGGCCCAGGCCCAGCCAGGACCATTCGGGTGTTCGTTGGGGGGTGTTTGTTAACGGGGGGCAGAGAGTGAAACGGAGGGCAGCAATGAAAAAAGTGCAAAAGTGTACACCTTTTGGGCCTGCAGTGGCAGTTTAGGATCCCGCGCGAACCTCGGTCCTTGATCCTGCACTTCCCTGCAATCCTCGGTCTCCCACGCCTGCAGTCAAAACTACTAGTGAGGATGCGTGATGCGGATGCAAGCCCCTTGGACGCTTGTGCTGAAGCTCTTTCGAGCGCGTCGGGCCGTCGAACGCAATCCAGGATGGACCAAAAAGGCCCGGATGCAAGGGTACTCTCATCGGCGGCGAGCGAGGGTGGGAACTGAGAAGGAGAAGGCCTTCCCAGAAGGCGGCGCGGGATTTCTCAGAAGCCCTCGCGCCTTCTGAAACAAATTCTGTGCCCCAGGGGAAGGCTCAGAAAACGTGTCAGAAAGCCGGGGGACTTCCGAGCCTTCTGAGAAGGCCCGCCCCTGCTCTCTTCCCCCTCGGGCTCGCCGCCGATCTTACCATCGGTTTCGACTGTGTTGCCCACCCGTGCTGCCCCCCCGTTGCCGTCCGCCTGAGCCACCGCCCCAAGGCGAAGGAGGCTGGCGCCCCGCGCGGGGGCTCCTGGGCCCGCGCGGCCGCCCGGGCCCGCGCGGCCTCGGCGGGGTTCTGCACCGCGGCGATCGCGCGCGCCTCCTGCCTGTGGGGCGCAGAGGTGGCGGACGCGGCGTGCACGCACGGTGGGAGACCTCCCCGCTCATGCCTCCTCATCCTCCGCTTCATCACCACGATCACCACTGCGAGGGTCAATCCCGCGGCGGTTATTCGGCGGCGCGCCCAGGGGGGAGGGTAGAGTGAGCGGGCCTCCTCAGGCCCAGAAGGCCTCCGACCGCCTAAAAAAAATTCTGAGCCTTTTATCCGAGGCCATAAAGGACTCCTCAGAAGTCCAGTGGGCTTCTGAGAGGCCCCGCCGCCTTCTGAGAAGGCCTGCCCCCTCTCGAACGCCGCGTGGTTTCTGGGTCATAACTCGGCTCTCTGGCGGCCAGTCGGGACGATCCGGGCACCCCTGGAACGCTCTCGGCGAGGCGCAGCCGCTGGAACGACCCTGAGGTTAGAAAACCGCCGAGGCCCGACAAGAACACCCGAAATACGTCGAGCGACCTTGCTATCGGAAGTCTGGGGGCTGGCCGCTCGTCGACCCTGCGCTTCGCAGGGCGCCTCAGGGGAGTCTGTAGGGCCATCTGGGGACAAGTACTTTACCACGAGGCGCCTGCTGGCAGGCCAATTTTTATCATTCGGTGTGCCTGCTGTGAAGCAGATTCGTGCCGCGACGACGGCGGCGTCGGTTCCTGACATCGTGTGGACAGTTCGTTCAACCTTCCTTTTCACAAGTGGCGCTTTCGTCCCATTTCGGGCCCTGGGACCCTCACAGATCGATCCGGCTCGAAAAATGATGCAGAAAGATGGGGTCGAGGGCTCCGGGCGTGATTTTCGATGATGCATTTTGTCCGCACCGTCGGATCTCAAGGTTGAGCGGTCGCGGCTCTCCGCTTGCGCGGGTCTTTCGGCATCGGCGGATTCTGAGCCACTGGCGTCGTTCCACCTTGAACGCCCGCGCGGGGGCCGGGGCGGATCCCGACCAGGACTCCGAAGGCGAGTCCAGCCGTGACGACGACGCCCGCCCGCCCCCCGAGGGGGCCCAAAGAGGCGTAAGCGAGGGACGGGCATCGGTATCGGTACAGTCGACACCGATCATAAGGACGATCGACTTCCCAAGGGTACCCGCGCATCCTTGCCTTTCCCGTCATCTTCGGCCCATCCTTGACCACTTTCGATGGCAAGTCCCGCTCCAGAAACTTCGGCATGGGAATCCAAGGCCCTCGCATCCTTACCGCGCATCCATACTATCAGTTCTGAAAGTACGTAGCCCTCCCTGGTCCTCGGCCAAAATCGGTCCCTGGAGCACTCCCGCGGCCCTTCCAGGGCAATGTTCTGCGCCGCGCGCAGCCGTGGCGACGAAGAAGCATTGGAAAAGCGTCCCAAAACATCCGAAACGCCGTCGTCGTCGTCGTCGTCGTCGTCGTCGTCGTCGTCGTCGTCGTCGTCGTCGTCGTCGTCGTCGTCGTCGTCGTCGTCGTCAACATCGCCGTCGTCTGTTTCATTTCCCTGAGCCTCTCCAGCCCGCGCTCCTCCTTCGGCGCGAGGGCCACGAGTTCCTTGCCGCCCGCCTCCGGCCGTGTCGGGGCCTCTAGGCGGCGCGCACCAGGAGGTGGCGCGAGGGGGGCGTTCTTCTGAGAAGGCGGGGGAATTCTTGGAAGGCAGAGGGCCTCCCTCCGTGGGGCCCAAAGGCTTCTGACAGTGCTTCTTGGAAACTGGGACCCTGAGATCCAACCTCGCCGAAACATTGCCACATCGCAGAGAATTACGCCCGGAGCCCTGGACCCCATCTTTCTGCGTCCTCTTTCGAGCCAGATCGACCTGCGAGGGTCCCGGGGCCTGAAATGGAGCGAAAACGCCTGGCGTGAAAAACTTGCAACGCCAGGATCTCAAGGATGGCTTCGAAGAAGGCCGCCCTGCCTTCTGAGGAGCTTACCCCGGCTTCTTTGAGGGCTGCCCCCCTCCGCGCCGCCCCACTGAGACATGAAGCAGGCGGGTCCGGATGGAAACGGTCCCTGGACCCCAGGGCTTATCCCCAGCACGAGCTTCTCCTCCTGAGCCGTTCTTCGACGGTCCCAGGGCCCGTATGTGGAGGCCCCCCGGAGCTCAAAAAGTGCGCAGGATCCGGCTTCTCACCGGATCTTGGGGCTTCCCTCAGATCCTGGCGTTGCAATTTTCTCACAACTGGCGTTTTCCCTCCACTTCGGGCCCCAGGACCCACACAGATTTGATCCGGCTCGAAAGATGACGCAGAAAGATGGGGTCCAGGGCCCCGGGCGTGACTCTTTGCGATGTGGCATTCTTTTTGCAGCGTCGGAGCTCGGGCCCTCCCCCCCCAGGGCCAGCTTCTCCTCCCGAGCCGTTTCTCCACGGCCCCCCCTGGGGCCCGTGGAGGGCCCCGGGAGCCCGACCAGGGCGCCAAACGGCTCCAAGCTCCCCGCCTGCTTCATTGCGACCTCCCGCGTGCCGCCGAGCCTCGGCCCACTTGGGCCGCCCGTCGAGGCCCTCGAAGAACCTCGAGCCCGTCGAGGCGGGCTCTCTGGCGCGCGCCGGCCGGGCGGGCTGGGCGGGCTGCGCGTAGAGGCCCTCGAAGAACCTGGTGGGCTCGTGGGCGCGCGCGGGCTGGGCGGGCTTCTTCACCTGCGCGCGGGAGCGAGGCGCGCAGCTCTCCTCAACACCCGGGTCAGCCAGGAGGCGGCGAGCCTGGGGGAGAAGTGAGAAGGAGAAGGCCTTCCCGGAAGGCTCGGAAGTCCCCCGGCCTTCCGGGAAGTTCTCCGAGCCTTCCGCGGAGGCACAGAAAACTTCCCAGAAGGCGCGATGGCTTCCGAGAAGTCCCGCCGCCTTCCCAGAAGGCCTTCTCCTTCTCATGTCCCCCCCTCGCTCGCCGCCGAAGGAGGGGATCGGAGGGGATCGGCCGACCTCAAGCTGGCGCTGACCCCCGCCACGTGCCCCCGACCGACCCGCCACCGCGCGAACCTCTGGCCCCTCCGCCCCGGGCGCCGCCGCGCCGCCGCGCGGCACCGGCGGCGGCGGCGGGCGCACGGCGGCCTCGGACGCCTCAGCGGCGAGCGATGACGACGACGACGACGAGGCCGACGCCGACGCCGACGCCGCAGCCGCAGCGGACAACGACGGACGAGGCCGACGACGACGCCAAACGCCGACGCCGACGCCGACGCCGTCGCCGCCGACGCCGACGCCGCCGACCCTGCAGCCGCAGCAGACGCGACTGACGACGACGAACACGACGACGACGCCGCAGCCGCAGCAGACGATGACGGACGAGGCCGACAACGACGTCGACGTCGACGCCGACGCCGACGCCGACGCCGCCGCCGACGCCGCCGCCGACGCCGACGCCGCCTCAGCCGCAGCGGACGCGACGGACGACGACGAAGTCTCCGCCAACGACGCCGCCGCCGACAACCACGACGTCGTCGCCGACGACGCCGACGCCGACGACGCCGACGCCGACGCCGACGCCGACGACGACGCCGCCGCCGACGCCGCCGCCGCCGCCGACGCTGACGAAGCCGCAGCGGACGCGACGAACGATCACGACGCCGCCGCCAACGACGACGACATCGACGACGACGCCGACGCCGACGACGTCGCCAACGCCGACGACGACGACGCCGCAGCTGCAGAGGACGATGACGGACGACGCCGCCGCCGACGCCAACGCCGACGCCGACGCCGACGACGACGCCGCCAGCGCCGACGAAGAGGCCGCCCATGCCGCCGCAGGCGCAGCGGACGACGACGAACACGACGACGACGCCGCCGACGACGACGTCGTCGCCGACGACGCCGACGACGTCGCCGACGCCGATGACGACGATGCAGTTCCAGCGGACGATGACGGACGACGCCGACGCCGCCGCAGCCGCAGCGGACGCGACGGACGACGACGAATACGACGACGACGACGACGCCGACGACGACGTCATCGCCGACGACGACGACGCCGACGCCGACGACGACGCCGCAGCCGCAGCGGACGCTGATGGACGACGACCACGGCGACGCCGACGCCGACGACGACGGCGACGACGCCGATGACGACGACGCAGCCGCAGCGGACGATGACGGATGACGCCGACGCCGACGCCGAAGCTGCCGACGCCGCCGCAGCCGCAGCGGACGCGACGGACGACGACGAATACGACGACGACGACGTCGTCGCCGACGGCGATGACGTCGACGCCGACGAAGACGCCGCAGCCGCAGCGGACGCTGATGGACGACGACCACGGCGACGACGACGCCGACGCCGACGACGCCCCCGCCGTCGACGACGCAGACGACGCCGACGCCGCCGCAGCCGCAGCGGACGCGATGAACAACGACGAACAAGACGACAATGCCGCCGCCGTCGACGGCGACGTCGTCGCCGACGACGCCGACGATGACGCCGACGACGCCGACCCCGCCGCCGCCGTCTCAGCGGACGATGACGGGCGACGGCAACGCCGACGACGACGACGACGCCGAAGCCGACGCCGACGCCAACCCTGCCGCCAACGCCGACGACGACGACGACGCAGACGCCACCGCAGCCGCAGCGGAGGCGACGGACGACGCCGCCCACGACGACGACGCCGCCGACGACGACGACGTCGCTGACGACAACGCCGACGCCGACGACGACGCCGACGCCGACGACGACCCCGCAGCCGCAGCGGACGATGCCAGACGACAGACAACCACGATGCCGGCGACGGCGACCGCGACAGCGACGACGCCGCAGCCGCAGTCGCAGCGGACGACGACGGACGACGACGCCGCCGACGACGACGACGACGACGGCGCAGCCGCAGCGGACGACGACGGACGAAGACGAAGACGACGTCGTCGCCGACGACGCCGACGACGACGACGACGCCGACGCCCCCGTCGTCGCCGACGCCGCCGTCGACGCCGACGACACAAACGCCGACAACGATGCCGCAGCCGCGACGACAAGGACGAGGACGAGGACGAGGACGAGGACGACGACGCCTCGGCGGCGACCGACGACGACGACGAAGCCGAGTACGACGCCGACCCCGACGCAGACACCGACGCCATCGTCGACGCCGACGCCGACGACGACGACGCCAACGACGACGACCACGCCGCCGCAGCCGCAGCGGACGACGACGGACGACGACGACGACGCCGTCGCCGCCGACGCCGACGACGAGAGTGACGACGACGACGCCGACGACGCCGACGACGACGCCGCAGCATCAGCGGACGACGACGGACGACGATGACGACGACGAAAACGACGACGACGATGCCGACGCCGACGCCGGCGTCGATGCCGACGCCGACGACGAGGACGACGACGATGACGGATGACGGCGACGGACAACCACGACGACGTCGACGACGACGGCGCCGACGCCGATGACAACGCCGACGCCAGGCCGTCGCCGTTGCCGACGAAGCCGACGAGGCTGATGAGGCCGACGAGGCCGACGTGGCCGACGAGGCTGACCAGACCGATGAGGCCGACGAGGCCGAGAAGGCGGACGAGGCCGACGAAGCCGACGAGGCTGATGACGCCGACGACGTCGGCGACGCCAATGCCGCAGCGGACGACGACGGACGACAACGACTGACGGCAACGACGACGACGACGACGACGGACCGACGACGACGACGTCGACGACGACGACGACGAGGCCGACGACGACGCCGACGCCAACGCTGCCGACGCCGACGCCGACGATGCCGAGGACGACGCCACAACCGCCACAGCGGACGACGAGGGACGCTGACGACGACGACGACGCCGATGCCGACGTCGACGACGTCGACGCCGACGCCGACGCCGATGCAAACGCCGACGCCGACGACGACGCCGACGACGACGACGTCGTTGCAGCCGCAGCGGACGACGACGGACGACGACGACGACCGCGACGGCGACGGCGACGCCGCAGCCGCAGCGGACGACGTCGACGATGACGACCACGACGACGACGACGCCGACGACGCCGATGCCGCAGACGACGCCGTCGCAGCCGCAGCAGACGACGACGGACGACGACGACGGCGACGGCGACGCCGACTCCGACGCCGACGCCCCCGTCGTCGCCGACACCGACGCCGATGCCGTCGACGCCGACGCCGACGCCGATTCCGATGCCGCCGCAGCCGCCGAGGGACGTCGACGACGAATACGACCACGACGACGACGTCGTCGCCGACGACGAGGACGAGGACGAGGACGACGAGGACGATGAAGGACGACGAGGACGACGAGGCCGAAGCCGACGACGAGGCCGTTGCCGACGCAAACGACGGCGAGGATGACGAGGACGAAGACGTCGAGGCCGACAAGGCCGACGACGGCAACGAGCGGCCTCGGCCACCTCGGCGGCCGCCCCGCTGGCGGCCCGCGCGCCCGCAGATCGCTGCCAGCGCGGCGCCGGCGGCCCGTCGCGCGGCGCCGGCGCCCCGCGCGCGGGCGCCTCGCCCGCTGCAGCGACCGCCGGCGGCAGCTCGAGGCCGGGCGCCGCCCGCGGCAACAGGCCAGGGGCTTCGTGCCGCGCGGGGTGCCGCGAGGCGCCCGGCACGAACGGCGGCGCCGCCGCGTCGGCCGCGGGCGCGCTGGCGTCGGCCACCGCCGCCGCCGACGGGGCCGCGGCGTCGGCGGCGTCGGCAGCCCACTCGGCCCAGCACCAGCCGCAGTAGAGGAGGCCGTCCTCTCCCGGGAAGTGCCCCTGCTGCTGCTGCTGCTGCTGCTCTCTCTGGTGGGGCACCTGTGGTCCACCTAGAGCCAAGGTCTTTTGTTTAGCGTGTCGTGGCGGTGGCCCTTGCGACACGCGTGTCGCTCCGCACCGCGGGCCGGGAGGCTGGGAAATTCGCGGGACATTGACGCTCGCAAATCGGGACGTGGTTGCTGTGTCGCGCCGAGGCGTGGTGGGCCAGAACCAGCGGCGCGACATGCTAAGCCAAAATTCCTGACCGTCTAGCCTCGCGTCTCCCAGACATCAGGCGCTACGATTTCGTTGATGCGTGGGCCCCTGGACCTCTCGGCCACTTCGTCCCTCTCCCCGGGCCTCGGCCACAGCCGACAGTCAGAGAGACCCTGGGCATGAGTTGCTTGGTGCGCGGCCTGCCGGTCGCTGCGCGCAATGTGGCGCAGTAGCGGCCTGCGCGCCTGGGGTTGGCCCCCCGCAAGCTGCGAACCAACGGTCACCCTGGCGAGGGGTAGCTCTGATTGGGGGTCCCCGAAAGGTGCGGTGACAGACCGCTCTGTGACCTCGAAATCCCCAGAAAGACCTCCCCCTGGAAACCCCAGTCGATCGAGACATCCTCGCAAAACAACCCGAATCCAAAAACCGTGCCGTCACCCCGAATCCCCACCGACTTCACCACAGCGGCCCTCCTTCGCATGTCGGGTTTCCAAGCCATAACTCTGGTCTTTGGCGGCCGTTCGGGGAGATCCGGGCACTCCCAAAACGCCCTCCACGAGGCGCAACTGCTGAAACGCATCCCAAGGCAGGAAAACCTCCAACAACTCATGCAAGCGTCCGGAAACCCAGGCGCCATGCGGATTTTTCCAGGATCGGCGCCACCAGGACTCACCACACAGTGCAGACACCGCACGACTTTGGGGACCCCCCCCTCTCGCGGGCAGCCGCGGCGCCGCAAGCCCGCCTCCCGTGGAATGCCCCCTGCCGCTGGTCTGGCTTCTGGGGCGGCGTGGCCTCGCGCCTGGCGCTGCGCGCGGCGCGAGCACCTCCGCGCCCCCGCGCCGCCCCGCAGGGCGGCCCGGGCCCCCGACGCCGCACAGCCTGTGAAGCGCACGCCGGCTCCCCGGTGCCTGAGGCCGCCTGCGCGCTCCCGCCCCGCCGCCTCTCGGCGGCCCGGGCCTCCTCCCTCCCTCCTGTCTCCGCGGCCGCCCTCTTGGCCTCCGTCCGGGCTTCCGGCACCAGGTCTGGCTGTGTTCCGACTCTGGCAGATTTACTTGCACGGCAGTTCCCCCCCCGCCTCAGCCGCAATTTCTGACAGCGCTGGGCCAAAAAGGCGTGCAAGTGGCTTGCGTGAAACCCAGATTTCCTTCCAGGCCTCGCCGCGTCCCTAGCTCCCTCCGCCTCCCCCTCCTCCTCCTCCGCCTCCTCCTCCTTCTCCCCCTCCACCTCTCCCTCCTCCTCCTCCTCCGCCGCCTCCTCCTCCTCCTCCTTCTCCTCGTCCTCCATTCTCTGTCCTCGAGGGCCTCCTCTCCCCCTGCCCCCTTCCGCCCCGCCCTCCTCCTCCTGCCCAGCGTCGTCGGCCTCCCCTCCCCCCCCCGACGACGACGGAGGCGGCGGCGACGACATCGGCGCCGGCGACGACAACAACATTGACAGCGGCGACGGCGGCGGCGGCGGCGACGACGACGACGACGATGTTGTCGGCGGCGGTGGCGGCGCGTCCGCGTCCTCCTCCGCGGCGGCGGCGCCGTCGAAGCCCCCCTCGGCAGGCTCCCCGCAGCCCGCGCAGCACCCGTCCGGAGCCCAGGCCCACTCCTCGCCCTCAGCCTCGTCGTCGCCGGCGTCCCAGAGGGCCTCGTCGTCGTCCTCGGGCGGGGAGGTCACAGGCGAGAGTGGCCTGTGGCGCTCGGCCTGCCGATCGCTGCACGCGGCACGACAGCAGCGGCCTGCGCGCGCGGCCCCGCCCCCTTCCCCTCCCCCCCCCGCGCCCCCGGAAAACCGCGCACCAAAGATCACCCCGGCGAACGGGAAGGTCGCTCCAGGACGCCCAGGATGGCCTGCAGGCGGCCCAAGAGGCTTCCAAAAGCACCCCCAAGAGGCAACGTTCATTTCATTGTCTCAAACTCTTGAAGGATTTGCGCGTTTCTGCATTTTCGGCTTCCTGACGCTCCAAGACAGCCCACGAGGCCTTCGAAAATTATAAAATTTGAAAAAACTGCAGCCCCAATACAACCTATGTGGGCGCCGACACGTCAATAGAGGCCCCCGAGACGGCCCAAGATGCCACAAAACGGCCCAAGAAACCCGCAACACCGTCCAAAGAGGAACCCCAGAGAGGGACCACGACCCGATATTTCGAGCTCGCCGCCCCAAGAGGCCCCCTGCAGGCCCCAAGAGGCCCCCGACAATCCCCAAAAACCCCCACGATGCCCCCAGGAATACCGAAAAGGTTCCCCAGAAGCTCCCACGAGGCCCCCAGGAGGCTTCAAAACTGCCCCAGGGAGACATCCCCGAGAGCCTTCCGAAGATACCCCAAGAAGCGTCCGCGAGGCCGCTGACACACAACCCATGCACGGTGGCGGGATGGGCCCTGGATGGGCCGAAGGCAATTCGAGCTGTACAAATACAACGAATACTTATATACTTAGGAAGCGGATCTCGCTTGATTCCCGGTGCAGCGGTCCGTCCTGGGTCGCGAACGCCCCTGGAGGGCCCAAGACGGCCCTCAATGCCCCGAGACGGGCCAAGATAGCTCCACGGGGCCTTTTGGACGGTCCGAGAGGGCCCCGAGTCGCCGAGCGATCGGTCCAAGACGATCCAGATGACCCCCGGACGGCCCAAGAGGTCTTCATGACGCCCCCAGAAGCCTCCAAGAGCCCTTCCAGGAGAGCCCCCAACTGCAGGCATCGCTCATTCCCTGTGGAAGAATACGTTTTAGGGTATGCGATGTTTCAGCCTTCGCGGCGTCCATGACGGCCCAAGAGGCCTCCCAGATACTTCAAGACAACCCGACAGGCCCCCAAGATGCCCCCAGACGCCCATAGAGGGCCCCAAGACGGCCCTCAGTGGGCCTTCAGAAGGGGTCCACGATGAGGGACTTTCGTTTAGATTTCTGGCCCTCCGCCCTAAGGAGGCCCCCGAGACCGCCAGCAGACCCCCAATGGGCTTCAATAGGCCCCCGAAAAACCCAAACGAGGCCGTCAAGAGGTCCCCGAGAAGCCCCCAAGGGGCCTCCTGACAGGCCCCAGCATCTTTGACCTCGAAACTCACAAAAGGACCGCGAGCCATAGCCGTCCCAACCTGATCGTATACCGAACCTAAGAATCAATTAGTGAGGCGGCAACCACAAAGTCAATATCTCTCTCGATACCAATACAATGTATATACATGTATGTACATATAAATAAACAAATCATCCCGCTCTCGCTGCTGGGCCTAACGAGTGTTTTGTTCTGGCTGCGAATGCGTCGGCCCCAGCAACAGCTTCGAGCGGCCGGTTGCCATGCCACCACATCACACAGAACTTGTGGCCACACCGTTCCTGCCCCTGAAACCAGGGCTTCGGCAGGGGCGGTCGGGGGGGGGGCCGAAGCTGAAGGTCAGGACGCGGCGTCGGATACCTTCAAAGAAACACTCCCACGATTCTCTGAACGGCCACGTCGCGTCTGTGCTTAGACAATTCACGCGCAAGCACAAAGATCATCCCGCTCTGGCTGCTGGGCCAAATTGCTGTTTTGTTATGACCGCGAGTGCGTTGCCCTTGGCACAAATGGCGAACGGTCGGTGGCCACGCCATCACATCGCACAAAACTTGTGGCCACACCGTTCTTGCCCAAAACAACGACCCAAAGAGTTCCACTGGCCCGCGCGGGCCGCTCACATTCGCTTGTCTCACCAACTGATATGGAAACATGTCGGCATTCTCCAGTGACCGGTTTAAACAATTGGGGCCTCAGGAAAAAAACACTTGCAACAATTCCTGCGCAAGGGTCGGGAGTAAAGGTCCGCGATATCCGTCCGGAGCTGTTTCGCCTGCCCAGGGACGAGGGTAACTTTGCCACTCGACTCGAGGTGCGGAGCCCCGGACCTGGAGCAAATATCATTACAGGACTTACGCTGGACACCTGTAATGGAAAGGTCGACCCAAAAGGAAAGGATCCTGGTACGTCTGCGCCACGGGACTCCATGCTGGCAAGAATCAGCGACGGTTCGACGGGCAAGCGCATGATTCAGGAGACGTGCCATGAGTGGGGCCTGCCAGACGTGAGAAGAATGAGGGTTCTCCAGCACGGCGGGGGTTCGCATCTCAAGGCAGATCTGGAGGACGCTGCCGCTAAAATGCATCAGCCTGTTGCCTACGGGGACCTTTGGGGCATCTCCAGGGCTCAGATTGGGAAGACCCATGACGTGATCACGCCTGCGGAGCGGCGGCGGTCCTATCCCTCCGCCTCGCCGGGCCATCGACAACGAGGAGCACAGACCAGCTTGGACCTGATCCAGCCCCTCACGAGCCTTTGGTTGGCCCTGAGGGTGAGGTCATACTCCTCGCCGTGTCGCAGGTCCCACTCGAACGCTGGGGCGCCGTTCATCTCCTCTGCGTGCCGCCGCGCGCGCGCCCTGCGCCCCGTCCCTCTGAGCAGCTCGAGGGCGACTTGCCCCCGTGGGGCGTGGGCCGCGGCGGCCGGCAGGGCTCCTGCGAGGAGCTGTCCAGTCGGGCTCTAGCGCAGCTTCGCCAGCTCGAGCGCGTCGTTGGACAGGCGGCCTAAGACCCGCTTGAGCCGCTTGCCCTTTGCGCAGCGTCGGGGCGACTTCGCGTTCACCCGGCGGCCGCGTCGCTGCGCGCCCTGGAGGCGTCGATCGAGCCGCGTCAGTATCGGCAACGGGCCGTCGTAATCGTCTCCATGACCAGCGACTCGCCAAACAGGCCAGCTTTCGACGGCTGGGGACCCTCGGCTGGATGCAGCACCACGCTCCGCAAGGCTTGTCTTGGGCCGGTTCCCGTTGTCGGCGCCGCGAGCCCCCCTGATTTCATCGGCAGGATGTCCGCCGGCCGCAGGCGCGGGGCTCCCCAGGAAGAGACGATCATCGCCGTCTCCGCCTGCGGCGCGGGCAGCCGCGCAGCTGGGGGCGCGAGCTTCGCGAGCCGCACCTGGGCCAGAAGCGCCTGCTTCGGGCCCTGCCCAGCGGGCCCCCCCTTCCAATGGGTCGCCGCCGCCGCCCTCAGCTTGCAGGAGACGCCGCCGGTGGCCCCCTCGAACAGCGTCGCGCCCCCCCGCAGCGCCGCGGCCTCGCCCTGCTTGCTGCTCCAGCGTCCGGCGGGGGGCGCCTCTCCGACGCCCGCCGCGGGAAGTCTGCCATCGGCGTCGCGCGCGGCTGCTCCTGGCTTGTCGACGCCGAGCGCGGCTCGAGGAAGGTCCGGCCCTGCTGCCCACTCGCCTCCGCCTCTGGCAGGCGACGCCTGCGAGCTGACTGGCAGTCGTCGCGCTCCGGCCCCTCGGGCGCCGCGACCGCCGCGGCGATCTGGCCCCGCGCCCCCCGCGCAGCCAGCCGCCGTCGCGCCGCCGTGCCCGCCGCCGGCGTCGCGCCCTCGCCTCCTGGGGGCGCGCGCTCGCGGCGCCCGGCGGGCCGGCGCCCCGCGCGGAGCGGCCTGCGCCTGGCCGGGGTTCGCCGCGCTCGGGCCCCCGCGCCGTGCGCCGAAGAGAGCCGAGTGAAGCTCGGGCCCGGGCAGCCGACGCAGACGGGGTGGCGCGTCGGCAGGGCCATCTTCGAACATCGCCCATCTGATCGCCGGGCCCCCCCCCCCCCGCGACCTGGCAGAGGGCCCCCCGCTGTCCGCCCGCGCGCGGTCCATTCCCGTGACTGACGAACGTCCATTGCTCAGCATCGGCGCCGCCGCCGTCGCATCAACGACGAAGAGAAGACGACGGCCTTGCAGGCGAAGGCGGCGGAGCTTGTGTTTCATGGCCCAGAGGGCGGCACGTGCTTCGCGCGTAGGCACGGGCTCGCGCTGCCGCCAGCGGGCTCAGCTCGCCGTCCGCCAGGGCCCAGACATCAGCGCAGGCGGCGCCTCGTCGAAATCACGGGGCGCGTCGCCGACGCCCTGGCAAGTGCTGAGGTGAATGTCGGCTTTGCTAGAGCTTATGAGCCTTAAAAGGAGTTGCAAAGGTTTTTTACTGTGTGCCCGCACCCCGCTTGTAAGCCAGCAGCATGCTGCTATAGCTACTTGGCTTGTTCATCATATCTAGCTGAAATCCGCCGGGACTTTAATAAACCAACAAAAGCTGTATACTATGTGAAGCGGTTGCTAAGTCTGAAATTGGTTTATCATAGCGTTCCCCCCCCCCCCCTAAGTATGATAGCATATTTATCCTATGTTAACATAGCTGTTTATCGTAGGTTAACTGGACAACTATTTTAGCTGAGCGCTTGGTTTCGGCATCTGCTCAAGCCAAAAAACATAGTACTTGAAACAGAATATGCATGTTCGTGTTTAACATGTAGCTCCCGATGCATCACAAACTGGAGAACCAACTGGGCAACGAACACCAAAAACACGAACTTTGGAAATTCGAGCTCGGACAAACCAAGATTTCACCGTCCATCCGTCGGTCAGTTTAATTGCCCTCCGTCTAAGCTAAAGGCTCGGGATGGCCGCGCGCATCGCATCGCGGCCCGTTCGGTGGATCCAAGACCAACCTGCATCGCGCGTGCAAACATCAAAATTGTTGAACGCATCAGCTTTGCATTTGTGGATCAGAGTGGGGGGGCATGCGAGCCATTGGGTACTTGAGGGGCCTGGAACGCTATACTTGCGATGAAAATTGTCGGCCTTGTGGTTGCGTTAGCCCTCCGTCGTTTGTATAGCC